AAGAAATCGTATAAAACGGTAACGGTAATCAAAAGACCAAACATCGCCTAAACTATACGATTTATCTGAGATTCTTCGTTAAGAGTATAAAAACGCGTTTTTAATTAAAAAAATGTCGAGAGAATCGTAAAAAACGGCATCGGATCAGGAAACGGTCTCGTTAAAGTCGTAAAATGGTTTTTATTGTAAAACGGCCCGAGAGGTCCTAGAACACGATAAAAACCCATCTCGCGATGTTAACGAAATCAAACCCGAAGATACGATAACGCTTTGACGGTCTACTCGCAGACGGAAGATAAAATGCAAGTTTGAAGATAAATAGAAGATTTCCGCATAAGAAAAGAAAGGATCGGCAGATATGGAAAGTTCCCGAAATATTCGGTTTCGAGCATAATGGAAATACTAAAACCGCCTAAGGAGGAGTATATAAGGAGGAGGCATAGGGCAGAAGCTGGGACACGAGTTTTCAGAGCTTTCACCACCAAACTTAGCATTTAGGCAATTTTCCGTTTTCGTTATCGAGCTGCGTCTCAACTAGGGTTTTAGTCTTAGATTGCTAGAATTAGGAATTTCGCCGACGGCTCACGCAGCTAAGGCAACTCTCGTGTTAACCGTTCTTATGCGAATTCGGAATAAGAATCCTTCGTGCTCTCAATCTCGTTTTTCTTTTTATATCTTTCAGTTTATTCATATTAATCGCGTTCTTGGTTACTTGTCGTTGGCTTTCGCAGAGATCCGGTTCCTCTGGAAAATTAGGGTTTTCCTAACTTTCCTTATTTTACGGAAATCGACAAGTGTGAATCTCGGTTCACACACGAATTAAAATCGACGTAGATGTTAAATGCTCATAATGTTTTATTGGGGCTATATGCGGACGTACATGTACACTCGTAGTAAAATTTTACATGGACTTAAGATCGGCTTCGATGTAAAATCATCGTAACATTTGCACACCTTAATGATGATTTAACTTTGAAAGTGTACAAAGACTTTACAACTAATCATTAACAAGTAATTTATGACGAAGGGGGTTAAGGATGACTTCACGATGAAGTCTTGTGTCTCGAATTATGACGAAGAATTCTGTTGTGAACTTTACGAAGACATTACGATGAAAGGTCTTTTATGAGATGTTTTTTAAGACAATAATATCTGTTACGACGGGATATTTACAGCGGTTTTGTTATCGTTGTTAATTCGTCATAACTCGCCCTTCTCAAAAAATTAATAAGAATCTACGTCATCGTAATGACCACATAAACATGAAAATAAAACACTTCCTATATGGGAATACAATAAAAAAAAATTGACTATAATTATAATCTACATTGTATTCAATGAAACACCTTAACTGAATTTGAAGAAATTAAAATTTCCATTAAATTCTACTATTATTCAGTTTTTATTTTGTGAACTCTTTTTAAGTCATACTAGGTGGTTGCTCGCAAGTTTGCGGGTACAAATACTTTATAAAATATATTATACTAATTTTGTTGAAACTAAAATACATTTTTAGTTATTCAAAATAAAATGTTAGCTTTATTTTACACTAAAATTTTAAGTGTAAATTTAAATGAATTTCTAATATAACAAATTTTCATTTTAATTCCATATGTATGAAAATAATTTATTATATCTTATGGATTTTGGATTATAATTATTTTTGTTATACTCTCTAGATTTTCCAAAGTTACTTTTTATAAATCATTATGTTTCATATTATTTGGATCATTAGGAAAATGATATTAATTGGTTCCAAAATTACCAATCAAATTAAGAAAATTTATTTGAAAACTTTTCTTTGAGAAACACATAAATATAAATCACTTAAATGACTTCTCAAATATACATGAGGATTAGGTGGTTATCCGTGAATTTGTGGACACAAATAGTTTTTAAAATCTAATCTAAAATAATATTTTTTATGTTTTGACAATATAATATTTCATTTTTTAAAATTAATATGATTTGTTTTGGTTATATATATATATATATTCTAAAGAAGTAAAGTTATATATATATATATATATATATATATATTCTAAAGAAGTAAATTTTATGAATTTTTAAAATGTAAACATAACTCTTAATATTTTATTAGATTTTATCAGAAACTAAAGTAAAAAATTAAGAAATTATTAATGTATGCTCCAAATGTCATTTCTTAATTAATACCTCATATATAAAGATTTCTAAATATCATTCTTTTTTACAACAATAAATAACTAGGTAACTATCCTCTAGGCTCGAAGGGTCAAGCCGCAGGTGTTGAACCAAGATCAAACACAGCTGAAGGAGAACGCTTTGCACCTTGTGCAAGCTTATCCACCATAGTATTTTGTGCCCTTGGAATATGTCTGATTCGAAAGTTGGGAAAGAAAGTCTTACTACGTTTATACATCTGATAATATTTCTAAAACTAATATATGTACAATATCACATAATTAATATAAATTAGCTATTGGTTTTGTTTTTGAAACTGAATTAAGATAATCAAAAATTAAAAACTTTCAACTAATAAAATTTAAAATATTAATTGAAGAGTACTTCTATGAATGACATATCATTAAAAGTCAATTAAATGACTTCTCAATGAATATGTAGGATGACTAATATATAGTAGGATTTAATCATTTGATACCTCAACAATATAATATCACTTTTTCATTGAATATTATTGGAATTTTGCAAAATTATATATTTGAATATTTTTCCTACATATATGTATAAAGTGAGTTGAAATATTATAAAATTTAGATTATTTAATTTTCTGATATCTATTATTTATTATATCCACTACTAGTATACATATATTTCAAACCATTTATAGAATTGTTTTTTGTAGTATCATATGTATTTATATGTGTATTATAAATTATATAATGTAATCTCTGATATTTAATTATTTATATAAATAAATTATGTTAAGTCATCTATACTAAAGAGGTTTAATTTTTTGTTTCTAACATATATTAGATAAAATAATTCTAAGATTAATTTACATTTAAAAAGTTAAATTAAATAAATTAGAATTGAAATACTACCAACCATTCAAATTAAAAGAATCAATTCTAAACTTCACCTATGAGTGACACCTAAGCAAAAGTCACTAAAGTGACTTCTTAATTAATATATAGTAGGTTGTCATTGTGATATGACTAATTAAAATTCAACCAAAAACTTTAATCCCTTTAAATGCATTTGTATCTAAAATTCAATAAGTTGAGATCCTCTCCAAATCTATTTTTTTGTTTTGGAAAATCATTCATTATATACTGTTCATTAGATAATAGAGAATAACTATTAAATCTAAACATATGGACGTTGATCAAATAATTCTATAGAAATGGGGATGTCTATGTATTATCTATATAAACACACACAAGACTAAAACAACTCATTTTCTTGTATACTAAATCCAGAAAAAAGGTAAATATGTTACAAATATTTTAACTTTTTTTTGTGTGGAAGATTCATGAAAATTTAATCTTCTTTTGATTTACTAATATAAAACTGATTTTATGTTTTCCAGGTTTTGGTTATTTAGTGGGATCTAAAGATATTCTACAAAGAATATTGCATATTCTAGAAATATAATCAATGGCAATCAAGAATTCCTTTTCTCTTCTACTATCTTCATTGATGGTTCTTTCTTTGTTCTTCATACCCAAAATTTCAGGTAATGTATCTAGGGTGTTTTTCAAATATGATCCCCAAAAAATATAAATAAAAAAATTAAATTAAAAATAAATCTAAATATTAAGAAAAAGGAAAATTTTAATAGGGAAAACTAATATTTTACTTCATTAAGTATCTAAAGTTTTGATATTTAAAAATAATATTTTAAAATTATTTAAGCTTCTGGTAATTCAGTTTTAATAAGAATATTATTTAGCATTTTCAAAATTAATACCATTTTTTCTTGATTTGTTTTTGAGAAAATATATAGATTTAAGGATAGTATTTTATTTAAGAAAATAGATAGATTTTAAGGGAAATGTTTTTATTTATTTAAAAATATATTTTTGTTGCTTAAGATTATATTTTAAAGGAAATATTATTTCCTTAATATCAAGATTATTTTTTTTAACTTTCTTTTTTATTAAGGCATATTATATCTAAATATATATTCTTCTTTAAAATTATTTTTAAAAAGTTAAAGATGATTCCTTTTTTATTTATATTATTACGTAAAGGAAACTTCTAATTCACATAAATTATTAAAATAAAAAGGTTAATGATTTTTGGATGTAATGTTTTAATTCTTTATGAATACTTGTGTAATTAACCATCGTAAGAACTAAAGTGAGCATAACACGTAAGAAACTGATTTTTAAAATAACATTATAAAGATGTCTTCTAGATGTTAACTATGTTAATATTTGTGATCCCTCGAAAATTTCATCCAATTGAGGAAAACAATTAGATATTTCACAATAATAATTATTCACCCAAGGGATTTGACAGTTTATAACAATTACACATCAATAGTGAATTATTTTACTTGGTCCTTAATAGAGATTCTCTACAAACATCATAAAATACTCAATTTAGAATCATTCTTAAGCTCTCAAACTTTCTTTTTGTGTGACTAAAATGTTGATAAGAATAACAACTGCTCTGTTTCTTTTCATATCAGCAACAATTCCTCAAAATTTAGGTAAAACATAATGGTAACGTTCACTTGTGATATTACACACATTGACATATGTATCTTCTTTTCATAAATAAAAGCGAAAAGCGGAGGACCATGGTGTGTAGCCAATCCCAAGATGTCGGACCAAGTGGTACAAGAAGCATTAGGTTGGGCTTGTCATCAGAGCGAAGCATACTGTAGCAGGATTCAGCTTGGGCAAAATTGTTACTCGCCCAACACTCTCAGGGACCACGCCAATGTTGTCTTCAATACTTACTACCAGCATAACAAGAACCAAGCCGGTTCTTGTGATTTTCATGGTGCTGCAGTGTTCACCCACACCGATCCTAGTAAGAAACTTTATCTAAGCCATGTTGTTTATTAGTTATCTAACCTCATCTAATTAACCGAGATCATAAACAATCACTGTCTAATTTTATTATTATTTGATGATAGGTCATGATAGTTGCCAATTTGAGACTGTCCCTGATTCAAGTAAAGAGCAAAGATGAAATGAAACCACCTTCAGCAACTCGTGAAACAACTTATGTACTAATACTGANAGTAAAATGATCTGAAATTCTTAAAAAAAAAAAAAAAAAAGAGTTTCCCATGCAGCAATGAACGCAGAGCCTCCGAATGGTGCCCAGGTAGAAAACTTCATGTCCTCGCACAATGCTAGCAGTTAACACCTACAACATTGACCAACATGAAACTTTTCTCATATTCATACCTAGTAAAACACCACCTACCCAAAATTTTGAAACTGGAGTACCTAGTAAACAATCTAAAATATACTTACAATGAAAAACAGTAGTTTTATTCTTTCAAATGAAAAAAAGTCAAGAACACAAGGAGCAAACTATTTCATAAAAAAAATGTGGATACTGCAAATATAATTTAACTTAGATACAGAGAGACCTATGCTAATCAGATTTACTCTAAAATTGTGGGCAAACATTGATGGTGCCAGATATTAGATTGTATACTGGAAACTCCAAATCACATTGAAGCACAGTAACCCTAATTACAAGATATCCAACCAACATTCTAGCATAAAATCTCCACCAAAAGATCCATTCAAGAGTTATAAATTCCAAAATTTAAGAAAAGCGCACACAAATCAAGAAAGATAACATCTTATATTCCGGAAAAGGCCACGATCTCGGCAGTCAACAAGCCACCAAACTGTGGAAGAAGGAGATATGTCAAAGTATAAACAGAGGAAAGAAAGAATGAGAGATCCTCAACAACGAAAAAGCTTACGATGTTGGGTTATTTGGTGCTAGGAGCAGAAAAATGAGCTGCACTGTGAACCAAATGGTAAAGAGAAGCCGTTTGCTACACCTGAAATATCATAACTTGTTTAGAAAAATCCAACACAAGAACTGTAAAACTAACTGTAAAAAATGGAACTGAATTTCTAAAAAATCAGAACCTGAACCTGTTTGTAAGAAGAATTTTCTGGCTTACGACCACCATTAACGCAACTCTTGTGGCTGCCTCTTAGAACTTTTTGGGTCCCACCACAATATTAAGAGTTTCCCCTTCTATCTCTTCCGTAAGAGGTGAGTTTAGTAAGGTTTGTGCACTATTCGCGGGCCGCACTCATACGTGGCGGCCCGCGATTGGTTTGATTATTATTATTATTATTATTTTTTAAATCATAAAAAAAAAAAAATCAAAACTAAAAACCTAGATCTAAGACTTTACTGTTAATTACGAATCCACGATAGGTTCTCAGCTTATACGATTCGTCTGGTTGGAATCAAGCATCTCACCGAGGACAATTTTTAAGTCTCCGGGAAGTGCTGACCAAAAGTTTAGATTTCTTTTATAGCGCTATTACCCTTATGTCGGGTGTTCAAGAGTTATCTCTGTGAGATAACTTAAGTTTGTTTAGGACTATTGCGAGTTTGTTGTGATCAGCAACAAACTTTTAGGTGATAGGTGTTAACGTTGTTTGGACCTTCGCAAAGGAATTATATCTTAAGAAACTATGTATGTCTTTTTTATAGTCGCAGACGAACTGCTTATTGTTGTTTTTTTTGGAGAGAAAAAATTTCTTTCGAAGATTGGCGATGTCTCGCAGAAAGCTTCGAATCTAGTTGAGATGAATTGATACCCGTTATCCGTTACGATTTTGTACGGGACTCTGTGTCTGCAAACTATGTTCTTCCATACGAAGACTTTAAATTTACGAAGACTTTACAAGAAAGTCCTTGTAAATTACTCGTAAAGTTTTATGACGAATTAAAATCGACGTAGATGTTAAATGCTCATAATGATTTATTGGGGCTATATGAGGACGTACATGTACACTCGTAGTAAAATTTTACATGGACTTAAGCTTCGCTTCGATGTAAAATCATCGTAACATTTGCACACCATAATGATGATTTAACTTTGAAAGTGTACAAAGACTTTACAACTAATCATTAACAAGTAATTTATGACGAAGGGGGTTAAGGATGACTTCACGATGAAGTCTTGTGTCTCGAATTATGACGAAGAATTCGGTTGTGAACTTTACGAAGACATTACGATGAA